TAGCTTGTGATTTTGCAATAGTAAGGTTGTGACATATCGTAGTACAATGGCGAACGCCTTGCCTCAACATCTCTCCAAGCGTGTTAAGTAATTTAGCTTGCACAAATGAAAATGCTGAATAAAAAATTCGGTAGCGAATGAACAATTAATTTTTTTACGGAATACAAGTATTACGACGGACCCGCGACCGACACGATCAGCGATTTCCTCGAACAAATTGTCGTAGGCTGCGATTTTGTAGTTTCATTCGATGTACATAACGTAAAAAAGACTGAAAAGAAAGCTAAGAAACTTTAGAAAAAAAAACACGCAAATAATATCACATCAAAAAACGTGGAATCACGAGAAAACCTAGCGCTTTCAATATTAGGTACTTTCAAGGCCGGAAGTACGCTGCTAATATAAAAATATATTAGTCAGGTTGTTTTTGTTAAAAATTGTAAAATGTGTTAAAAACGGCAGTTAGAGGGCGCACAAGTGGAGCGATGGGAGAGATGCAAGGGATGCAAGTGCCGGTAGTTTATAACTAGTTTTAACAGTGCATCTATTTTCGATACTTATTACATACTGCCGCTGAATGGTTCAACAGAAATACGAGTACTACATAACATTTCTTTCCTACATTCTAAATCCATGAAATTGCTCACTCAAAGTGATAATTCTAACTTTCTAAGTTCCCATTTGCACGCCAAGGTATATACGTAGTACAGTAAGTAAGCTGGTGTAACGAGCTACGAACATAACGATCGCACAGTTCTAATTTATCGCCGATCGGCAAGCTGCTTAGCAACCCTATCTTCCACTTTGTGCGAACACTGCCGTAAATTGGCGATTCAGCGCGGATAGACGTGGCATTCGAAGCGATTGCTTTCTACACAACCTCGATGGGTATCAGCCTTAAATGCTGTTCTTGGGACCAATGGGACGTGAAATTGACATTTTGCCTTATCTCTCTCTCCCTGTACACGATCCTCATGGACATCCGATACAACTGGAATAATTACGACGTACAGTACAGCTGAAACGTTCGTCGACTGTCCGGTTACGCGTAATCAAGCTCGCCATATGGTACCCATCGTGGACAGCCGCAGCGACCTTTAGGTACGCTTTAAACTTGAGGTATTATGTGTTATGTAGACTGCAAACTGTAATAATTTTTTTTGCTTAGAATTAGCGCAAAAATGTTCGGGCGATCGTATTAGATCATAATATATATTGTGCGCAAGTTGGCATAGTGGTAAAAAAACTTATAAAAAAAATTAGAAAAAAGGCTTTTGGCTTTTAAAAAGGATTATTTTACTTAAAGCTGTGTGTGCACGGAGAAGAGCAGGCATTTGCTGTGCAAACAGGGTTTTGCGGTCCTCGTCGACTGGATGGCCTATCGTGTGCTCTGTCTAGTCGGATATATTCTTGCATACAACGGACAAAATTTCTTGGGATAATACTGCATAAATAAAATTAAGTTTCTGGAAATTGAGTAAAGTGGAGCGGGCGGCTGTGTTCGTGGAGGAATCCCAGCGCGTGCATGATCGCGTGCTGGATGGTCCCGGGTAACAAACAGCGGGAATGCAGTTTGAACTGCGTTGGGCGGCCGACAATGCGACCAGTGTCCGCTCTGCATGTGTTAAACAATACGCGAGGAGTTTCGCCAAGGGCAAAACTGCAAAAACGTTTACCGTACACTGGCACGAATTCTGTATGGTGTTGAATCTGAACGTATTCCGGTTGAGTTCCAGCGCATTTCTGGAAGGTTACACAGTCGCCGCTACGCCATTCAATAGTGTGCGTTTTAATAAGTGTTCCTTGCTCGTCGTCTGTAAGTTAACAGAATTGAGTTTATGGTATTCTACAATACGTCCATAGTGGGAATACGAAAAATAGGGACTACAAAAAAGAAATGTGGGCTTTATGGATGGTATCAGAAGTTGGTTTTTCCCGTTTTGTTTTTTTCTCTGGTTTTGAATCACCGGGTTCGGTACGTTTCGGGCTGGACTGCGCACCTTCTGGACTTTCTGGTTGAGAGTGTTGTTCGATCAAGCCGATGTCCAGGGCCCAGTTTGCGATAGTTGTCGCCGGTGTACTTTGCAATGCGTAATAATAGGTCTTGTTGTGGCCGGACTGTAACCCACCGTTGTTATAGTGAGTGCAGATCAAGTTCGTGAAGTAAACAACTTTTTTTCATAGACGTATTTAGGCATAAAGAAGGAAAACTATTGTGTTCCGCTGAGCATTAAGTACTACTCGTTCCACTATCCTGGCAGTTGACAAACTTGCGCTTTTGGCATAAAGTTCGCTGTTTCCACGCTCTTGAACTTTCTTGCCGTACGCCCTTCACTGACTTTCATGGTATTGCGTGATACGATTCCTCTGTGGCGTATTTATTACTGCCATTGGTATAAGATATGGGCGATATGCCCCTTCATATAACGAATACGGTTTGTTTTTAAAGAACACTGGTCAGCTGTTACTAATACACGGCTCCATATCTTCTGTATAATTTTTTAATTAGACATTTAAACCCATTTAGCTTATACAGAGCAGAAAATTAACCGATAGATATCACAACGCAGTACACTCAATCAGCAGAAAACAGCCTCAGGAGGTCAAAGAACGGACAACAACTGATCCAAATTTGCTCCCTGAACGTGGAGCTGTTCCCTGAACGGAGGCCGCATTCCCGCGCATTACATTTTCTTCAGGCAATGCAAAACTGGAAGCACTGTCTGCCCTTGTCAAACATATTTCTGTCAGATCCGCACTTCTCATTAATCATTTCCGGTAAATTTCTGAAGAACACTTTTGTCGGTGTCCCATGATGCTTGAGCATTCTTACACAGTAGTCTCAAGTCTAGACAAATGCCTTGCGAAATTCCCCTGGACTTTCTGGATAACCACGCCCGTAATTCTTAAAAAACCAGCCCCGCCCGTAAAGCGTAGGGATATGCTTCTCCGGGTAACGATTCATTGTTACCTAACGAGAGAAATTCTTTACAGTAACATAGTCACCACCGTAAAACACCTGTGAAAAATAATACAGTACATTTTGATCACACCGGCATCCGCAAACGAGAGTTCAAGCTGAACCCCACTATAAGCATTGCGTTCATTTTCCGTAGTCACAAAATAGTCTCTTGTATGTATCACTATATCCAGGGTTTCACTGTTCGGAAACGGAAAAGCAACTGAAACGGATTACACAAAATCCAAAAAATATGCTTCGGCCAGCAGTATCTGTACACCACATCAGCTTCCCAATGTCTTCATTTAGCGATGGTTTTTCTCACTTCGGTCCATGTTTAATGCAATATTCGAACGAGTGTACAGAACTCCTCCATTCATCTTCATCAAACCGTATCTAAACCGTTCCAATGTTTTTTTTATGTTTAAATTCATTAAGATTAGCCAAAAAGGGGAATCTCGAATTCGAAGAGAATATGTCGAGTTGAAGAGCAAAAAAGCTGGCCTCTCTGTTCAAAATCATCGCAGTACAACAGCACATTTGTTATACCCTCTCCTCCTTCCGATATAAAAACGAAGGCCTGCAACCGGTCTTGGTCAGAGCACATACCGAAATTTTAAAATAATAAATCTCGTTTGCTTCCTCGTAAAAATCACACGCGTACAGTTTCACATATTTACCTTCCAACAGAAAAGGTGAAAAACTAAAACTGGAGACTTCCAGTAAGCCATTCTTCCGGTCTAAGGATGACCATTTAGGCAACCATTTGCAGCTGTTATGCATCTGGAGCATGAAGTCTTTGATTCGCAGTACCAGAAACATTGCGTTGCAAATTTTCTTCGCAAAAAAAATACCAAAATGTGCACACGATTACAAAATGTGCACTTTCGATTTCGTGGTGTTCTTTGATTTGTACGGAAGTCACCAACGATATGTTAATTCTTCCAATACAGAAAATGCTTTAGTAAGGTATAGCTTAAGCGGTCTCTAACATCTGCAGCGGCTCTTAAAGCAGGCGCATGGGTCATCGTGGATGAAGTATTGCTGCTTGTCTCCGCCATGACCTTTCCACGGTACGTGCTTACAGTTTTTCGCCGCTTCGCTAGCTGAATATTTGTATCAGTTAATAAAGCCTTAACCGTGTGGGTCAGAGCTTAGGCGTTGGTCTCCGACCATACAGCGGTCGTCGACCTTGGACCGCGCGAAATTACTGCATAATTTTGGTTGGCGTTTCCGTGTTGAGCAACATTCGGGAACGTCTGCGTTGAAGCATTCCCAATGTTTGCTCGATACGGAAACCTACTAACGACCCAAAAAATTATCATTTCGCGGAACTAACGGCCGATGGCGAACCAACATAATTATTATGTAGAAATGTTACTTTCGATACACACTGTCACGATTGCTCAATAAAAGCATCACGTAAAAGTACTAATACGAGTAATTGGTACAGTGGACTTCGTATGTGTAGCAAAACTACCGGTTGTATCCATTTCACTGTGATACCGACATCCTGCCTGCTACCGGTAATAAACTGGTGACCTTTCACAATTCACAGGCGTACAAATATGATAATATGCGACTACAGATACTTACATGTACAACCGCTATCGTAGATTCTATCCGATCATTACGTTGTGTCGACTGCATTTTGCAATGAACGACATTTTCCTGTGGCGACGGTACGGTACCGTGACAAGTCCACCTGAGTCCGAGTAGGTCGCAACGTCATACCTGTCTAATTAGGTCTTTATGTCTTTATACATAATTGATAATATAGATATATATATATCGAATTGCTCACGAAAAAATAAAAGGTATCTCTTATGCCTTATTACGCATTTGGTATCTGTAACAAAATTGCCGGTTGCACGAAACTGGTTTCCGTACTGATATTTTACCTGGTATTGCTGGTGACTTTCTGTCCTATTGTAATTCGATTATCGCACTATTGCTTTCTACAGTCATTTTCCTAAAAGCCACGTCGAAATTGCAACGTTAAGATTTTGCAATTTTACAATTTTATTTTTTGCGATAAAAATTTCTAACATACAAACATAAAAACCCGGGAAAACGGACAACTTTAACGGCAAGGATACAGCTTCAAATATGAACATATCGGCAATAAACATCCTGTTTTGCAAACTCAACCAACTAGCAACGTTCTAAACCGATTCATAAAGAAAAAGAATTTACACAGAAAAAAATAATACGAGATAATTTAGACGTACAGGATATAAACAAGAAAAAAATGCACTTAACCAGGAATGCAACACTGCGGAATGTCACGTGGCCCGTTTCCGACACGGGTTCAGCTGGTCCCGGCCACCGGCAGCGCCACACCGCCGCCGACCGGGAAGTTGCTGTGAAACAGCAGTTTATCGGCGGTGTCGTTGGACGGAGCCGCGGGGCGCGGCGGCGGGACGATACTGGGATAGGTCACCGTGCTGATGTGCCGCTCGAAGTAGGCGTGCACCAGGGCGTCGTGCGAGGTGATGCGTTTGGTGGGATTGAAGAGCAGCATGTTCTGCGGACGAGAGTACAGTACTAATTATTAACAGAATAAGTAGCGGATATTTTGGAGTAAATTCTCATAACATTCTAGCTATCCGTTCAGACAAGTATAACACCGATATTGTGACATATCGTAGTGCAGTGGCGAACAGTTGCGAAAAGTAATATGCACTTACCGTCAAAACAGAAACACATAACGTAAAATTCTACAGGGAAGAAGAACTATTTTTTTCTCCGGAAATATGCGGAATTTTTTTTAATTTTTCCGCTCTCAGATATGGCCATTTTAACCAGCTAATTAATCAGAGAAATTTCATAACAGTTTTTTCAAGTTTTTCATTGGCTGGAGTAGTTGAAATAAGCAACATTTACTCGTAGCTGCACGATGGCGATATCGCAAAAACAGAAAAACGTTGAAATAAAAGAGAAGAGACTGAAAAAAAACACGAAATAACCCCATGTCAAAAAAATGTAGAGTCGCGAGAAAATCTGTTATTTTAATATTTCGAAAAACCGAATTAAGCCGCTAATCTCAGCTTTAGTCATGTTGTTTTTCCTCAAAGCTATAAAATATTCCGGGTTAAAAACGGCAGTTAAGAGGGCGCACAAGTGGAGCGCGACATAACCGGCGGCCCATAAAAGCATAAAACAGATAAACGGCGTAAAGGAGTTTATCACGTGAAAGCACAATATTTACAGGCTGTTGTCCTCACCGCAAAGTTCGCAGACGATCACCGCGCACCGATTACGCATTACAAGCCAGGCTGCCGCATCTGCGCAGCGTTGCGACCGGCAGACAAAATCAACACACTCCGATTACTTCTGGAGCCACATTAACAACATTACCCACCGACCAAACCAATAAAAACTCGGAATATGCGTCACACACTACCGCACTTCGCGAACTGCGGAAATTTCGCTGAATTTTCCAAAAATATTAATGTGAAAACACAACCCTACATTGGTGATTCGTAATTTTCGTTTTCTTCAAAATTTCAACAACAAAAACCCCTGAAATCATTTGATAAACTGCATCATCAATGCAATTAGCGCGCTACGGAAATCACGCGAAAATTTCCACAACAAACATGTCGAAGAAAGCTCTCGGCATCGTCAGTTACCAATTGCCTTTTCTCCAAAATTTTAACACTTAGGTAAACCCCTGAAATTTTAATTTTGCATATCAGCACAAAATTCCTAAATTTTTAAAATTTAGAAACAATAATGACGGGCCAAAAAATCTGGAGATCGCTATGTTTTCTGATTAATATACTGTCTTTATCTGAAAACCGCACCAGAATTCACGAACCGGAAATTTACCTAAATCTAGCTCAGTGAAAACTAATCTTTCCCTTCGCTATTAATTTCCTAATTTTTTTGCTCATTTAAGTGCATACTGTGAGATAAATAAAGATGGTATTTCTTATTTATTTATACGGTCTCAGAATTTCCTTGATAATATTAAAAAAAAATTTCCAAAATCAACTACATCAGCAGCGGAATTGACCGGACGTATACAAACAACAAGAAATCGATAATTTTCAGAAATGGAGAAATTATCGTTACCTTCATCAGATCGACGCCCTGGAATCCGACGAAGGGGACGAATTTGTCGAGGGTGGCCATGCTGCTGGGCGGCATGGCGGCGAAGGCCTCCAGGCCCAGACTGCAGTTGGCCGGCCAGTCGGCCTTCATCGGCAGACCCAGAACCCTGCCGGCAATAACGCACCATGTCTTTTGCACATTCCCAGAAAAAAATTACAAATTTCAAACGAAAAATAAACTTACGAAAAAATGGATTTCAGCTGGCTAATCTCGCTCTCACCGGCCAAAAGCACCCTGAAAAAGGGAACAATTAAAGTCCGTAATCTGCTTGAGTCAGCCGGCAAAAAACATCATCTGGAACGATTTATGATTTTTAACGAATAATTATTATCAACAGGTAAGGCGTAGCATCCGTTTGCTTAGAAAAATTCGGAATAATCTCTTCCTAGTAATTGTAAAGGTTTACTGAGCACCAAGCTACACCTGTATTATTAGCCAAAAACACATCGATTTTATATTTTTTTGTAGTATTCTGTGCGGTCTACAAGAATTAAAATACGGACCACGAACAAACGCAATAAATAATCATAAAAAAGTTTTACATCCGTAACATCCGTAGCTTACCAAAGAAGAAAACTAAAATCAAAATTACAGTACCAAAAAACTTGTTGCCGGGTTTAACTGCAGAATTATTTCAGATTTAGGCTTACTCATTATTGCACATTTCCGCGAACATACACCCGACACTCCAGATATCCACCGCGAAGGAATAATTGGCACTGAGCAGCACTTCCGGCGGCCGATAGTGCAGAGTGACCACCTGCAAATATGGTTCAACGTGATGTTACTACGCCGGTCTAGATTGCCGCAAATATATTACTGACACATTTTCCTGTAATTATTTATTATAATAAATATTTATTGACAAATATCCAAATCATACTCACAAATCTTTTCACGTTATCACCTTCAGTCCACAAAAGTTTGGTAAAAAATTATTTATCATTTTTAACAGCGCTTTCAAAACTGTGCGGATACGATGAACATTACAAGGCTAGAAGCTAAAGTGACAAACCTTCAGCCCCTGTTCTACAATCTCTGCAATAACATGGTTCTGCGTACATCGTGGTAGATCGTACAATGTTAGCAGCTTGTGACTAGGAACTAACCGATCAGAAAAACAACAAACTACGCTGAACTGATGCAATCAGCAGGATAATTGCAATAAAAAAATGATCAAAAAATATTTGAACAGAAGCACCGCTGCCGAAGTTCACCCAGTGACGAAAGAATGTATATCAAGCACATTTGACATTTACCTCCAGCGACACGGGTTTCCGGTCCATCATGACCTTGCCCAGGCCGAAATCGGCGATCTTCACCACGGCGTTCTTAATGAGAATATTCTGCGGCTTGATGTCGCGGTGCGCCACGGCCATCGTGTGGAGAAAGTCCAGACCTTTCAGTATTTGGTATAAAATATCCTGCAAATATGACGATCAATGATACGCGAAACATTAAGTCTACCATGGTGACTATGTTCCAAGCGGGGATTTGACGCGCTCACCCACCTTGACCAGGCCCGGCGTCAGACCGGGATGGCGTGACTGGCTCGCGCGTGACCGGATGAACTTCTTCAGATCCATATCACAAAACTCCAGGACCAGGTGAATGTGGCAGTCCTTCTCGCGGCCGCCCGTACAGTAGTAGTTCATATCCAATAAACTGTTCAGTAAAATAGAAATGTTACTTACCGAATGCTCGCTCTTCGCTTTTCGCTGTGAAGCATATTTTTAAGAATTTAACCAACTATTTTCCCAACCAGCTTTTAGAAATAGTTTTGTAGGTATTGGTTTCCCAGTTCATTAATTCCGCTCATTAACTTACCAAAGTGTCCATATGATATCCCGATTTTAATTTCCAATATTACTACCTTTGCCCTAATTATATGAATTTTGTCTGCAGATAGAGATCATATTTTTAAAACTTTACCAGCAGATATCGTTATTAACTTTTATTTGTTGACTAACGTATATGAAAAATAGATGTCGGATTCATGATTTCCGTAAAATTTCGGTGATTTACTTGACAGCGTATTCTATGTTATCATGTTACTTTATTCCTAATTAAACTAAATTGGCCATAATGTACGAATTTTATTTACAGCCAGAGAAAATAAAATTCAACAAAATTTATTCATTTTCTTGGAGACAACTTGGAGCAAGCGTGCCTTATCAGTCGCATGGCAGCTGCATGATAATTATTCATAAAATGCTCCACAACACATGGTTGTTGTTGAGTAAACAGGTGTTTTGTATGCGGCAGTGGAGCGGAAAAGACGCCACAACAGCAAAAACGGCAGCCGGTCATAAAACAGCAACTACCCGGTAAACACACCGGCTAGCGTCCAGCTGGGAATTTCAACAAAGAACATCATGTTAAACAACCCTTAAACACCGGCGCCAAGATAACAGCGCTACCGCGGCCCGCTCTGACCTCTGTAAAGACCCCCTCACACTGCAAATACACCATTAAATACTACCACAGACTACAAAGTACCACATTAATCTTAATGTATCGATACGCTGCGTAATTTCGTCAACATGTAGCGCGAGTGGCCGGGCTGATAACAAATTCAGTAATACGATTATACGCAGCGGCTAAACAAACCGGCATTCGTTTACTCAACCAACAAGGTTCCATGTATCCAAAACTGATTTCAACATATGCCGGAATGCGGCGTGAAAAAGCTTCCATATTCAGTTAAAAATTCCAGCTTCTTTAGCGAGAGTACCGAAATTTTCAAAAAATTTCCCCGCTGCACCGTACAAAAAAATACAAAAAATCCCCCATTAAATCCAATAAAATAAAACGTTTTAAAAGTTCCACGACCAACAGAGAAAAATAACAAGATCGGATATTATCTCGGAAATGTTTAATTAACAGTAAAACCTGGCCACGAAAAACGATTTTCCATCAATTTTTCGATCATGCCTCTCATAGCTAGTCTACTACTTTTGAAAGGTCAAGAATAAGAAAATAAATGCACTATCAAAGGTATTAAGTATCGGAACTGAGAAGAACAATTACTGTACCTGATGATGTTGGGATGACGCGAGGAACATCGTCGCAGTAATGAGATTTCTCGCAGCGCCCACTGCGGAATGCCGTCGCCGGCGTCGCGGATTTTAATGTACTTGATGGCCACAATTTCGTGATTTTCCTTATTCTGGCACTGGTACACCACGCCGAAAGCACCGGCTCCCAGTCGACGCAGCTACAAACGAAATACACACTCAGCAAAAAGGAATGTCATTGCATCAATAATAAACTACCATTTAAGTACCAAACATGATATATCAATGAACTCCTGAACTATGAATTTTTGCTTTTGCGTGTCTTTACCGATCCTGAATATTTAACAGATCCATTTAAATTTTTCGCGCATGTTGATGCAATGCAGCAACTCCCCGTTCATTACATATACAGCATATTTTACAAATGACAAGAAATTAAAAAAATTAACCGATTTTAATTAGTGATATAAATAAAAAAAGGGGTTATTTTCCACTTACTTGAGTGTTTAGAAAATAATCTGGCTCACAAAATCGTAGATGGTTATTAAATCGCAGTAAAGTAAGTTAAAGTATCGTTCCACTGAACTTGCACCGGAAAGATCAGTGGCCCATCAAGGCGGCGATAAAAGCAATTTACAAGTATCAAATTTCGCGCCCTTTCTTCCGCTGACCTCATTGCAACAATGACATAATAAGCATCATCTTATCGCTTTCCAATTTACTGTTACGACCGCGGACCGATGCCGGTATACTGCTTTTTTTTAAATCTTCACTGCGCCATTTCCGCTGCGAAACAACACTACCCAAAATTTCAAATAATCGTTAATTATTCACAAAACTCCTACATAAACAGTCATTGCTCCAATAAAAAAATCTAAAAGATTTTTTTTAAAAATCGTAATAAACATTTAGAATTATATTTTCATCTCCAACTACAAGTAAACGACACATTATACACTGGTTTAAATTTCTCTATGGTTTAATTCTTGATGTGCAATAAAGCACCCTTTCTTACAAGAAAGGCTCTGCAATAGAGCACTGTAGACTCTACACTCTACACAGTCTACAGTGTAGAGTGGTGACTGGTGAAAGGAAAGTCAGGTCAGAAATTAGCACATGCCCGTAATTTCTTGAACGTGAGCCAAATATCTGGCATCGCTTCCAGCCCGGTGCAGCTTACTTGTTAATGCAGAAGAATGCTTGCTCGCATTCTTCCACCTCGTCTGCCTCTCATCACCATCACCAGACCAAGGTGCAGTAAACGATCGCGACAAAAGAACAAAGCTGGCTAATAAAGAATTTCGCGTCTCGACAAGTATGCGCACACTCGCAAAAACGACGCTATTTACGTTGCAGATTACCGATTAGCCAAGATCACAGAATACTTATTCTCGCGAATAACACTATTTCCATCAGAATTAAATTTGCTGTGGAAAGGGATAAAAAAATCAAATTAAAAAAAAATAAATTCGCACGAAGGAAGCAGTGAAACTGTGCGCGCTAAGTCATCCATGTATACAGAAGCACTACTGCCGAAGCGTATGATACAGGAAATGTATCCCAAAAACCGTTATTAAAGCCTAACTACGGTATTTTCTCAATATTTCCAAAATAAATAGGTTTTAAAATCTAATGAATGCAATTTCTTACCTGCTCATATTTGGCGCTTCTCCGCACAGACGTCGGCGCCGTGGCCCGTGTTAAGGAGTGCCCATTGTCCATCTTGTTGCTCTGCATCAGCGGATTGGGATTGAGTGTGGGCAGCGTGCGGACATTCCCGCGATGCGCGATGGACTGGCAGTGATAAGGAGCAGCAGCAGCAGCAGCTGCTGGTCGATGGCTGCGTTCATTCACAATTTGCTGCGGCCTTTGTCCGCTACCGGGACTAAGCTGATCTCCATCGCCACTGCCAATAAGCTGCTCACTGACGGGCGCAGACGGATCGGCGCAGGTAAAGTCAGGACAGCGCGCATATTGGCCGCGGCTGCAGCGACGGATCGGAGGCATTTTTACGGTGCAATGGCAGCAATGCTGCGATTATGACGGCTGACAATGTGAGGGAAAACGTCAATTAGGGGGAGCGAGACATGGCTGGAACGGTGTTTGGTCTCAACCGCGGCACGGAGAAAGACAACAGACAGCAACGAAAATAACAAAAACAAAAACTGGAGGCCAGCGAGTGTGACTAGAAAAATAATGATGTGTGCCCCGGTTGTTGCACTTGATGAACTCCAAGCGTCCAAGGAACAGCTGCACTGTACGATCACGGTCTGGCGCCAGCTGACAACAGTGATGGCAAGCCAAACGCAGCAGAATTCTCCACTTGTTGCTTCAACAGCGATGAATCTTGAACCGGTCCGTTTAAAAACGGAAATAAATCTTCCGAGTTATGCTTTCAGCTAACTATAAAATTTTATACAATGAATAATTCCAGTTTTTAAGTTTAAGACAGACTTCTTTCTAAAAACGCGGATGTGGATAATGAATTCATAGAAACATTGCTACAGCAGCGATAACAGGCTTAACAGCATTTATGCTGGGCAGTACAGCTTACCATTTCACTGGGTACGATGCGAGTACTGTAGCAGTAGATCCCTGCTACCATTCGGTAGTTGGACCTATCGTCTTACAGGGAACCCTGCCATTTCCATGTGCTCAGTACTGTAACTTAATGCAGGTTGGCATTTGGATTGCTTCGCTGCTTAAAGGCTGAGCTTTTCGCGCTTCGTACTTCGTTGTACCCGTTTTTTTCAATTTTATACTGCTGCAACTCAAAATTTTCCTTCCGTTTTTGGTTGTAAATTCTGATAGATATTTACTGCTGCGCATATTTTCTTTCTGTATTGATGGAAAATCATGCCCGCAAACATAACTCGTAGCGCCGTGTTGGGTCTGTATCGGAAACTGCTGCGCTACGCTGGCACCCTGCAGTACACGGACAAGGAGTACTTCGTCCACCGAATACGATCCGAATTCGATAACGCCCGCGATCTGACCGAGCCCAGTCGCATTGAGACTTTGGTCAAGGTGTGATTGATCTGACAATTAATCACCATGTTGTCCTCTCCCTGTTAACCTTGTTGTGTCTGTTTTGGTTTGTTTCTGGGCTAAATCTGATCTTCTGTGCAGAGAGGCAACGCGTTGCTGGAGCGTGCTCGCGTACTGTAATAGAGTTCCTGCGCACTCGCACCATGAATCCGCTGACGAACACCAGGAAGATCAACGAATTGAATGAAAGAGAAGCGCGCCTGAATATCCCCGAATCCCGCTCCTGGCACGCGCAGTATAAAGATAGTGCGTGGATTTTTATCGGGGGACTGCCGTATGAAGTCTCCGAAGGCGACGTCATCTGCGTATTCTCACAGTAAGATCTTAACCGGTTGCTTCGAAATGCGAATGGAGCCTCGGCATTCGATCGTTTTAGTTCAAATTGTTTGTAATTTCAGTCATTATACGTATTACATGGTAATTGAAATTTCAATGATTTGAATCGGAAGACGGGAAGAGTAATAGTTTAATCATTTTAATATTTTGCGAATATGGTTATTAGTTTCTTTTTATTTAAATTTTGTAAACTCTTGTGCGGCTATTAGGCGCCTGGTCTTTGCATTCTGCTGTTTAAAAAATTCAATAATTTACGTTACTTAAAATCGCTCAACTTCAGTTAGAATACTTATACTTTAGATTTTAGAACAAAATCCTGTGCAGTTCTAGCATCTTTTTTGCTGATCTTGTGTCTTGTCTTGTTCTGCTCTGAATTTTAAGAGAATGAAGTTAAATTATCGCTGTTTTGCTTTTGGTTTATTAGTGGTTGATTTTCGATTTTGTTGACGAATTTAATCAGTTTTGGCTTTTGTTGATGTATTCTAAAGGAATTTATGATGATGGTTTGGTTTGTCCACAGGTACGGGGAGCCGGTGAACATTAACCTGATCCGCGACAAGAAAAGCGGCAAATCCAAGGGCTTCTGCTTCCTGTGCTACGAGGACCAGCGCAGCACCGTCCTGGCCGTGGACAACTTCAACGGCGCCAAACTGTGCGGCCGGACGATCCGCGTGGACCACGTGCTGAACTACAAGGCCCCCAAGGAGGGCACCGACGACGAGATCGCCAAGATCCTCGCCGAACAGGGCTGCGGACCCGCCGCGGCCGGGCAGCTGGAGGAGGCGGTGCGCAAACGGGAACGCCATGAGACGCGCACCGAGCGGGACTGGCGGGAACGCTCGCGGTCGCGTTCACCCCAGGAGCGCCATCGACGGGAGCCCTCCCAGGAACGCCGCCGACGGGACGCCTCGCCGCGCCCCCGCCGACGGGAACGGTAAACTGTTGGGATGTGGCGATATTTTGTGGTTGTTTTTTGTTGGACTTTTGAGCTTTAATGTATGTGCATTTTGAAATAATTTACTGTAATTAACTGCAGTTTGTAAGGCGGTTTTTCCAATGAGCATAGAAAGCAACGTCATAGATATTAAAATGGATTGCTTAAATGGATTGGATAAATGGATTGATGTACAGAAACGTCATTGAAATACGAATAACGAGTGCTTCGGGACGCAGCGCCGCTGATGTTTTTAGTGTGTTTATTTTTAAATTATAAAATTTAAAGGATGCAGATTTTACTAATGGTAAGTGCGCAGTGGATATCCCACTAAATGTATGACTAAAATGTGACTAAAATTTGCGTTACTGCGTACTTTACGTGGTCAACGTTAATTTACTAATTTTTATTGTATTATACACTGTACAATACCGGTAATCATATTATTGTTTATTATTTTTCCTACTGTAGCCAACTTATCGAGCCTATAAGCTGAAGAAGATATCTTACCAGGCTAATGGAGAATTTTTTTGGTACATTATAAAAACTTTTCCTACATGCGTACATTATAATTTCATTAATTTGTATACAGTAGGTTATAGGTAGGTAGAAATAAAATAGGAAAAAAATGACAAGAAAAGAAAAAAATGAAGAAAAGAAAGACTTACTATGTACTCTGTAAGACTGTATACGGGGAAATCTAGGAAGAAATCACATTTTATAGGCGAGCCATTATTCTACGCTGCCACACACGATTATATTTTCTGAATTCTCTCGTACAGACGAAGAATGAGAGTACATACTCGTATAATCGTTTTCATAATTTCTTGGCAATAGCCACCCAAATAACAAAAAAATGCACGCGCTGACACCCTACTTGATCGTTAAAATTTGTATTCATAAACCATAATTAATTTTGTGCTTCATAATTACTATCAAGTTGTCGGTATTGCAAGTTAAACTGCTGTTCTAGTGGGATGGTTAATCCACCGTACCACGATGTAGCGGATGTTAAGGCTAACTGACAATCAAAAGGCTGGCACGGTCAGCAGCGATGCTGACCGGAAGTAAGGTGGCAATTACACAACTACTGTGTGGGAGATGAGACGATTCATCTCGAAGTGTTTACAAACAACAACGCAAGACATGGCAGTCACGGCAAGATTCTTATTAGCAAGTACACAGGGCAAGAAGGCAAAAAGCAAGGTTAGCTAGCTGGCAAGAAGCAAATCCAAGAATGATTCTAGTGCGCAAAAGTAAAAGTCAAGAGCATCGAGATTGTAGCGGTAAAGCGGTAAGACAATGAGATGCTGATTTACAGGATCTTAATGAGGAAGACCAGCAATGAATGAACCAATAACTGATGTAGAAAAGCAATTAACAATCCAAACTGGCGGTACTAAGATTTTCTATCGTTACAGTATTATTAAAAACTTAATAAATCGTTGCTAACTTGCTACTCATAAGATATGTTTATGGTTGTTAATAATTAGTAATTTAATTATTTGTTGTGCTCGTAAGTACTTAATTTTGTCGGTGGAGTAGGAGGCGTGGCCGTCCGTACTCCGTAGAAAGTATGTACAGTACGAGTACATACTGATACCGGTATACTGTACATAGCCTCACAAATTAAATTTCATCATACATACTACCGTACTTTAATATAAATAATATATTGTATACTGTACGTTAAACCATTAATTAACGATTGGCTATCGATCCAGTCAAGCCGGTTTTATGACTGCTGCGGTTAATACTTGATTGTATGATTGTATTGTATTCTCTCCAGACTCCAGCTGATCGTTATCGCCACGCATGCTGTTTTGGCGATAATCCGCAGAACCGGCCCGCAGTAGCGTGACTCGCGTGCAACCGAAAAATCACTTGTGCGCTGCTTCTGTCAGAAACCTGCACGTGCTGCGGTGAGTCTCGGTGGGTAAAACAGCACATCTTGCCAAATCGTGAATCCCGTTGCCTGTGTTGCGCCATCGCCCGTTCCTCACTATAATCAGCATGGAGCGAAAGCCGCAGAATTCCCATCCGGATGCCCGCACGCCGGAGCAGAAGGCCAGTTTGGCGGCCGGTGTCCCCCTGCCACCCATCTGGGCGCCCCCCAATCTGCCCAGTCCCTGCAGCTGGAAGCCCGGCTGTCCTAAGGACAAGAGTCCGCATCACGCCAAACCGCTGTAAGTGCCGCCAATTATCGGTAGGCATTTTTATGTAGTATTTAGGACGACTTTTTATGTGGATTCTACGTCTTGCAATCTCCTATTATAATTATAATATCGCTATTAAATTAGTGAATAAAAAATTAAAATATATTTTTTTGCCTTTACTAAAGTATAAGTGGTAGTACTTAGTTTTTTGCATGTGTTCGCGTTCGACTGGCACTGTACTACGATTATAGTAGTACTTACCATAATATGCAGTGTTTACCTTGTGAAATGCAGTAAAATCGCTAAATGACGCTTTTTTAAAAAAAATTGAATTATTTTGTAGCGTACGCGTACTTGTTTTTAAAACATTAATCGTGGTTTATTCTCCAGTTAATTCGACAGTTGCGCGCTAAATTTTTCTTGTGATGGTTTGTTCCCTTTTTGAACTGTTATGTATATTATGTAATATGCAGTAGGTATATTATTTATGCCGGCGGTGTATGATTCACAATTCGGATGCTTTGAACAAGAATGTGTGATGTCCTCGGGATAAATTCATCTGTTCCGTTATTACGAGTATTACCTATATTTATATGCTGTCGTTGAATAGAGCCCCGAAGCCCAAAGTGATGGAGACGATTCTGGACAATATCGGCAACACGCCGATGGTGCGCATCAACCGTATCGGGAAGAGCCACGGACTGAAATGCGAACTCCGTAGGTGGGCCGTGGGGCACATCAATGAGAAGAAATTACTCGTACTTAAATTAATAATCAGTTATAATCATATCATTAATAAGTAATCGTGCTTGGTTTTATAAATTATAAGCAGCCAACTAACCGCGCAGTTTCCACAATAGTAAAATTAAACTACAATAAAGTAAATAAGCAATAAAATTTAGTTGAACTATTTTATGTGGGTAGTGATTTTTATACTTACAAATTTGCATTAAGTTTATGGATATTTCAGTATAAAACAACAGGGTCAGCTTGTTGAGTAGCACTTATTCTCCGTTTTAACGCATACTTATACGCAGTAGTATTGTCGATGTGTTCTGTCCGTGTAAATTTGCTTTGTAATTTGTACCATAGCTTGAATATTGTGTGGTTGTGTTGTCAGTGGCGAAATGCGAATTCTTCAATGCCGGCGGCAGTGTGAAGGATCGTATTGCCCTGCGCATGGTGGAGGAGGCCGAACGGGATGGATTTCTCAAGCCCGGATCGACCATTATCGAGCCCACTTCCGGCAACACCGGTACATGTCACTGTTTTATTACACAGCCGGCTACAAATGTAAATGCATAGGCATACAGTACTTACTGTACGATACTTGCAAGTTGTACCGGGCAGTGAGCAGAGAGCGCTGAGAGAGAAGATAAGCAAATAAATCCGGTAAATACTGTAGTTAAAATAAAAACTACAGTTTACATTAAAAAACTATGATCTGACGTACATTTTGCGCATGAGATCAGGCGCAATATCTAAGAAACACAAAAACTCGACACGCTGATTTTTAAAAATAATGCGGTCTTTTCGTAACTGATACGATAACATGTTGGTTCAAATTGAGTGCATGGGTGCAGCCGGTAGTCAGCTACAGACTTGCACGATGGGAATTGTCTTTGGCACTGCACTACGATTCCGCACTGCTATCAGTTAAAGTTGCCGCCTATTGCTACTGTACTTTTTAACAATTAGCAATTTCTACAAACCGATTACACCGTACAGTTAATAGAACACACGAACAGCTATTTTGTATGAATGATTACTTTGATATGGATAATAAAATAATATAATAAATAAAATTCTAGAACGGATGCACAGTAATAAAAAACCGCATAACATACAAAATACAGATAATATATAAGTAAAATATACAACTATCTTATAGAAATAATAATGCTCTTCATTAAATAACGCGGCGCATGTTTAGGCATCGGTCTGGCGTTGGCCGCTGCCGTCAGAGGCTACCGCTGCATCATCGTCATGCCGGAGAAGATGAGCCGCGAGAAGGTGGACGTCCTGTCCGCTCTGGGCGCCGAGATCGTCCGCACCCCCACCGCGGCGGCCTGGGACTCGCCGGAGTCGCATATCGGGGTGGCGCGCCGCCTGAACGAGGAGATCCCAAATTCTGTCATTCTGGACCAGTACCGCAACATCTACAACCCCATGGCGCATTACGACGGGACGGCAGAGGAGATCCTGCAGCAGTGCGACGGGAAGATCGACATGATCGTCCTCACCGCCGGCACGGGGGGTACGGTCACCGGGATTGGGCGGGCGCTGAAAGACCGACTGGGCGATAAAGTGACGGTAGGCTCGTCACAAATATTTAAAATACGGCAGTATAATACTGATTTATTATAATGCGTATTGTTTATTCTAACAGTTTACCCATTTTCTGTTATTAGTATTATTATTAGTTTCTTCGTTTATTTATGATAGTATATTTATCTTTACTTTGTTTATTTATTGTTATTTGGCTGATTTTTTTATGTATCTGTTTATTTATTTTTTGGTTATTTTAATAAGTAGTATGTTGTTATTTAAATAGTGATTAACAGATTAATACGAGTATAGATAGTTTTTTATATAGTTTTTGATTTACCGACTGGCCGTTTTTGTGGGTTGTTGCTGTGAAAATTTATTAGTTTGTTTAAGAACTGGCAAATTCTTAGGGTCTACGCCATCTTTTATGGCTGCGAAAACATAGTTTACATTTGCTCCAAATCTGTGTTCGGTGTGATAACGTAGTGTAATGACATGCGGTAAATCCCTGAAGTATGCGGCAAAATGCCACTCAGGTCTCAGGCATTGCAACGCTGTTAGTGTTCACTGGCGGGCAAATTTACTGGGTTTTGTTGTGAAGAAAATGTAGTTTTTGCAAAAGTCAGTATCTACAAAATAATACTTTTGCCACTGTCCACAGCGTTGTGGCCGGAAAATATAGCGGTGTATGCGAGAAATTGTTCAGTATGATTACGTAGTGTATGGGCGTAGGGTGGCGACTGCTTTCGCTGTACAATATATAAATATACAGATATCTACATCCGGTATCCTAGTTTGCCGTCATCACATCTCTTCTGGTTTCTATGGCTGTAATTATTTTTAGGTTTATATTTTCATGATCAAAAATATTTTGTGGCTCGCCGGCGTAACTGATAATCTAGATTTTAAATAACTTTAATGAGTATGTTTTACAAAATGCAACGACTAGCGTTCACACGATCTAATCTAGATATACTGTTTATAGTCTAACAGATGAAATATATATGTCGAAAGAATTTGTTGGTTCGTCTGCGAAGTGTACCAGCGCATTTTGCGAATCTTTACGGTGCAGTGTCTCGTTATAATACAGGTGGTGGGCGTGGACCCGGTGGGGTCCATCCTGGCGCTGCCGGGCGAGCTGAACAAGATGGAGGAGGGCGCCACGTCCTTCTACGAGGTGGAGGGCATCGGCTACGACTTCATCCCCACCGTGCTGGACCAGAGCGTCGTCGATAGGTGGTACAAATCCAAGGACAAGGAGTCGCTCATTATGGCGCGCCGGCTTATCTCACAGGAAGGCCTGTTGTGCGGTAAGTGAGTCGATGGGCCACTATTTCATTCATACATTTCTTCTTATGATTCTGTTTAAACTTATCCAATTTTTGATTTTCATTATGATTTATTTAAAATTACAATGGTTTTAAATAGCCAGTTTTTTACTCCATTTTCTTTTGTTTTATCCGAATTTTTGTGAAATCCATATTGTTCTCCCTTAGACATTTCTGCTTGGTGGAAATCGAAATTATCCTATTGTAATTTAAATTTAATTTATTAAAAATTAAGACTGATTTTTGGAATGCCGTTTTGTTCCAAATTGTGTGCTTTTTTATCCTGGTTTTTGAAAAATCCAATTTTTTCCCTAGAACTTTGCTGCGGCATTAAAACCGAAATTAAGACGTTTTTTGCGGGTTAGGTGGAAGCAGCGGGGCGGTGATGTGGGCCGCGTGTAAGGCCGCGAAGGATCTAAAGGAAGGCCAGCGATGTGTCGTGCTGCTGCCCGATGGAGTGCGCAATTACATGTAAATGCGGCGCGCCATTTCCCTTGTTACTTCACTGGATTCATCACAGCGTGTGCGTAATGTATTCCCCTTCTTTTTTGTTCTTGAAACAGGACCAAATTCTTGAGCGACCAGTGGATGTTAGCGCGGGATTTCCAGGACGAGACTCTGTCGCTTGCTCAAAAAACATGGTACACTGGGCCACTTGTACTTTACAGTTTACACCACATTAAAAAAATATCAAGTAAAATTTAAAAAAAACTTATTGTACATATATGTTAAAATACGAGTATCAATGTAAAATTACATAGTACCACTTACTGGATATTTTATCAGAATTATGAGACAGTTATTACGCAAATAAAAGTTTTATAGTGAGCTCGATTGGTCGAGTTCCAGCGCAGTGATCATTTTACCGGTCGAAATACGGCGCAGTAAAGAAGAGATTTTTGAAGAATTATTTTGTCTCAACTATTTCTTCTGGTTGGTTATTGTACAATTAGAAATAGACGCCAAATGTGGTGTGTAGGTGGTCGGGCCTGAACGTGGGCTCGCTGGCGCTGGCCCCGCCCCTCACCGTGGCCCCCGACGTGACGGTGGAGAACGCGGTGGACATTATGCGCGGCAAGGGCTTCGACCAGCTGCCGGTGGTGGACAGCACGGGGGCCATTATGGGCGTGGTCACGCAGGGCAACCTCATGTCGCGCCAGCTCAGCGGCCAGATCCACAAAACCGATCCCGTCATTAAGGCGCTCTACCGCCAATTCCAAATGGTACGCTATCAATTTCTATATATAATCTGACAGCGCAGTTTATCGTGCAGATATATGGGCATTTTTCACTAATTTTGCAAATAAAAATTATGTTTATGGATGAATATGAACGACGTGCATTTTATAGGTGACGACGGACACCACGCTGGCCCAGCTGAGCAGTATTCTCACGTCCGACCATTTCGCCCTCGTGGGCCAAAAACTTCACCACGGTAAGACCGCACGTACGCTGTTTTTCTAGAATATTTCTATGAAAATCAGCTTTTGTATAAAAATAATTTGTATGGTAATAAAATTCGATTTTTTAATATTTGTTTTTCTTTAATAATAATATTATCTGGAAATGGGATTTATCAACTGCAGCGTTGATGGTTTATGGTGATAGGACTGCCCTTGTTCTACAGTATTTTTAATTACGTCAATAGAAAGAAAGGATGTGGATTTACGATATGAACCGGTGGAATCTGTGTTGTGTTGCAGTAGAAAGCGGGGCGCAGATCAAGGAGCGCACCAACATTGTCGGCATCGTCACCGGCATCGATCTGCTGCACTTTGTCACCTCCCACGAAGGCAAAACCGACCGGCCCCACTGAGCCAACCATCCCGTTTAAACGGCATGCTTAACAGTTGTGCGTTGTTTATTTGCTAATTTTACAACACTTCACCATGCTAATTTTTGGCAAATTGCGGAGGCCGAAAAATCAAACCATGTTGCTGACGGATACGTATTACATGAACAGTTATTAGCCGCTGTCGAGAAATCTTTGATTGAATATTCGAATACTGAATAAAAAGCAATCTGGAAGCAATGGGCAATGTGTGCTAATTAGACAGATTATTCAGTTAGCGGACGGTCATGGACTGGTAGCTGGTATTGGAAAAGGTCACCACTAGCTTCTGGCGGGCATCCGGCGCCGGACGGTGTTGTACCGGGTCCGCTGCGCGGATGACTTCGGTCGTTCCGACGCGAAGACCGCGAATACTGGCGCCGTCCATTGTAGCTAGAAAAAAAACGTTCTCTTAACGAAAAACTTTAGTACATTAATAAGAGTGATAACGTCATAGAGCGGTCACTATAATTCGACGTGTATCGCAGCGCGGACATTTTCACAAAATGGATTCGGCATTCGCGTACCGGACACGCGGTATTCCCTGCGTCGTTCCACGTGACAAACAAAGACTTTTCATAAATCAGAAACTGAGTACGTATTACTAAATAGTGATGATTAGTGCGTTTGTACGAGCTGGTTATACAAGAATAACGAAAAGCTATCAAGTTTTCTAATGTAGAATAACGCAGAGGTTATCGTGTTTCCAGTGTCCGAGAGCGGTACGCGAATTCGTATTGGGAAAATGTGGAGTGCGATGAACGTGGAAGTACTTACGCATACCTTTCGATGAGCCCAAGTACTCTTTAACCGCGTCCCGGAATCGGGCGCTCATGATGTTGTAGAGGAGCGGATTGATGGCGCTGTTGAGGTAGATGGCGGTCTTGGCGAACAGGACGTACCAGATGTTCAGCCAGGGCTCTTCCACGAAACTGTTGTATACCAGCAGACCGCGGTAGGGGAGCCACGCGATGGCGAAGATGGCTACCACCACAATCAGCATTTTCGGTACCTGCAAAATATTAGACTGTGATAGGAAAAATTAATTGTCTACGGGTAGACCATCGGTTGCACGTACGCGGTACAGACTACAGAGGATGTAGCTGGGTTAAAAGAAAGCCTAATTTATTGCTGCTACGCTGTACCTTCAGAAAAAAATAGTAACAGTACAGATATCAACGAAAAATACCAAACTATATCAACGTAATGCGGTTATATATATACAGAGAGGTAATAAACTATTAATACCCGTAAGTATTTCATTTTATTCAGTGCCACTACACTACATTGCCTTTGCATTATCAGCCATATTTTGCCGGCAGAGGCGGTGGTTAGATATGCACATGGCATCGTCAAGAAGTCTGGTTCATGGTAATAAATAATAAACGTAATCGCTCCTGTTATCGAACGCTCTTGTACTTTTATTAACTATTACACTGTTATAATAATCACGAAAATCCAGTTTTGGACTGCTTTCATTAGCACAACAATATTACATATATACAGTTATTAACGGTTAAAACTTTACCGGCGCGGAGCGTCTGTAAATGTTGGCCAGGGAGTAAACACTCTCCGTGGAGGAATTGTGCGTCGGACTCTCCGTGGACGGCACTCGGAGTGACCGCTGCAATGGCGGCCGCACATTGTGTGCAGAAATATTCTCACAGCGCGCAGGCCGTTTCTCCTTCATCATCAAGCAGATTTTGGTGTACAGGATGATGACCGCCATCAGCGGGAGGATGTAGAACAGCACCAGATCCGCCATGAAGACGATGAGGTACACATCGGCCGACAGACGGAAGCCGCACTGCTCGATCAGCGGATTGAACTCGTCCTGCTTGACCTCGGTGAGGCCCAGCCAGGGGGCGCAGTAGACCAGGGCCACCGTCCACACGCCGCAGATGACGCGTTTGGTGCGCGAGACGGTGCAGAGGAAGCGGGCGTGGAAGGGATGGCAGGTGGCGAGGTAGCGCTCCACGGTGAAGGCCAGCATTCTGCAAGCACGGACAATTTGGTCAAGGTGGCCTTGGTGGTCTGTAGTCCGTACGCTGTCTAGCAGCGCGTTCGTATGATGCTATTAATTTGTGGAGCTAGTTTGCGCGGCTGTTTTCAATTAATTAGGAGTTCATGTACGAATTATTCCAAACAAGACGTCAATGAAATCTAAAAAACTCAATGAAATAAAAAAAATTTTTTCATGCGCTAAAATATTCGAAGTAGATCGGACTGCGAAATTTTGTACTGTGCAAGTCGCTGAAACCGCCAGTAGCCGATACACTACAAAATTTTACAGCATTCACTAAGTCGTGGTTGTTTTTATGCAGCACGCTTTGCAAGGAAGCGTAGCTATCAGGTTATCATCAACCGGAGTACGTTTTTATGATGAGTACGTACGCCATTTTCCGCCAAATTTTTGTTCATTGGGATATTCCGCGAGAAAACACTTGATGCATGGGTTGACAATTAGACAAGAGAGAGGCTTCTTGTCAGCTGTCTTGTAAGTAGAGATTTACGTCTCTTGTCAGTACTTTGCCTCACGAAAAATTTCTGCACGATTAACTATCCCTAGCATTAGAAGTATCTTGTAATACGTATAACTAGTCTGCCATTCATAGATGCAGGGTGGTTTCTTGTTAGAAACACTAGTAGTTCCGTCTCAGATTCTGGATCACGTTTGCACGTCACCGTCACCTCCCTGGGTTGTGCGTACTACTTATTTTGTAACTCCTCTTGGTTACGCAGGTTACCTACATGAGACTTCCGGCGTTGATGCCGAGAAAGTTGAGGAAGATGAAGATGGCACAGGGTCCTTGGCCGAAGATCCAACGGTTGCCGATGTGGTAGGAGAGGATCGCTTCGGGGATGGCGCACCAGATTACTAGCAAATCGGCATAGGCCAACGACACCTGTAACCAGAAAATGACACGGTCATCGATCACACCGCTTGCACGCAGGTAAGAACACTTCACACAAGTAATTACTACTTGACCGGAGAAGGTACAGGCATAAGGGTTTACTGTTGTTGTTTGCTTCGGAAAAAATAACGCCCAGTTTCTGGAATGTGTTATTGGTATTGCTGCACAGCTCCATGGTGTCTTATTAAACGGCTCCTACGCAAATCCTGACAAAATAAAGTACGCAGAAAGAACGCAGTTGCAAACTTGCACGTCGTCGTCTGTGTATCGCCAAGCCCCTCTGGGGAAAAAAAAGCTACTGGGCCAATCACGCTATGGCTTCGTGTTCGTCACTTCGTTGCAGCTAGGCGTTTTGGAGACGTTGGACAATAAACATGCTTTCGGTCATCGGGCTTCTTTTCAGTAGACCATTAATTATAATTTTATTCATTGACCTCGCGCTATTCAACAAGGGGAACTTTCAATGGAATTTCCGGTTCAGGATCACCGCCCATTCCTAATATGACACACATGCAACGTAGCGCGCAAGGATCCGGCTCCCGTTCCCGCACGACCTCCTTTTTTTTAGGTTTAAACAGTTAAAAGATAAAAAAGGTGGAAAATTTTCCGTCTTTAAGCAAAGATATACGGTATGTTGGGTTTGTTGTGCTGTCCAGCGAAAAACTTCTACGGTAAAAGGTCATCTTGAGGTTCGGTACTGTAACAAATTAATTTTACGATAGCGTTGAGCCTAATGTCTGGCGTGCGATCACATGGCTGGCAAATGGATTCTGCAAGTATCCCGTCTTAATTAAAGCTGGCCCCAAACATCTCAACAACTAAAGGGTACTACCATTGCTTACGCGTACTTAGTTTAACGCAGTACCGTGCATCGCACGTGAGCCTCACAATCAGAGCCACTGTGTAATCTTATGCAAGGCAATTTGCTTTGTCGCTGGTATCTGTACATGGTAACAACCAGGTTACAACCTGTACCCTGTTACAAGCGTTTGAGTTTTCCCACCCTGGATGGATACACCGACACGTGACAAATCTCATACAAAGGAGCACCAACACACAGCGGAGTGTGATCGCAATAAGCAAATGAACTGATTCTTTTAAGATTAAACATTATTAAGCACATTTTCTACGGCTACTTCAACAGATACAGCGAGACAGTGCATGGTACCAATCAATCCACCAAATGCAGTACATATGGGTACAACCTGCTTATAGTACTGTACTTAAAGCCACATTTCGCAGTAACCAGGATAAACAATTCGCACGTTTTTAGCTGGGACGTTCGTTTAATCAGCCGGAAAATTTTGACCTAACACGGAAAGCAGCATCTGTACGTCAGTAGGGTCGTTGTAAAATTAACCAACCAATTAAGTAGAAAATTAGCAGCGATTTCTTCTAAGCTCAAATGCTGACCGAAGGCACAAGCCACTTCGCTTACTTTCTGTTTAATCATGCATTCAGTTTTCCGCTACCATTTCCTGTGAAAAATTACCGGGCGGAAAGCACTTGATGGAATTAATCGCACGTAAAGCGTATCGGCATTATAAAGGCGAATAGAAAAACGAAGCCGGTGTTGCGTGCCTTATAACGATAATGCAAAAGTTTACAATGCATATCGGCAGGCAACGCACATCGCTCTTTGCGGAAGGGATTCTGGTTTGACGTCAGTGTCCAGTCACTAATAAGCGCAAAATCGAGCAATGAAGGCCACAAGCTAATGAAGTCCTACATGTACGATCATTAGCCGTTGCCATCAGCTGATGCACATGCACACCTTCATTTCCGCTGAAATTCGCCGGCTCATCCAATGGCACTATATTCATTACCTGATTATCGTCTCGCTTTACAAGGAAATTACATTCCGGCGAATTACTCGCATTGCCGGTACAAATAATACATTTAAGGAAACCATAAAAACAATTCGGAAAAATTTGTCTAAGCAGAGTATACACTGTTTTCAAAACGTCAGTCTGTTCAGTCAAAAGCCAGTATGCAGTAATTTTAGAATATGAACTTTAATTACTTCTTCATTTAAATCATTAAATTAATGAGTATAATACGTATACCTTCTTATTTCGATTATTTACAGTTAATTTCGATTATTATTTAATAACGCTTTTTCTGCCCTGGTGCGGTTTCTAAAAACAATTTGTATTGGGATAAATTTAATTTGTTCTAGCTAATACTGTCGCCCGAAGCTGGAACTATAAGCGTTATTTTTACGTAGCATTATTTTTATTTTGCATCGCGTTGAACATTAAGATCAAATATTTCTATTAGTCTACGTAAACACACACACCAGGATGTTTGTTAGTGGTTACAGTCACGTTTATAAACCGGAGGCGTAACCAGTATGTTGAATAAGAAACAGGAATATTGTGCGATCACCAGCGACAATCCACTGAGCTTATTCCTTGATAAATTTGCCGGCAGCCAGACATTTAAGCGGACGAGTGCATTGATAGGGATTAGTGGGAGCATTTGTCAAATTTAATTTCCGCCCCGCAGACAATCCACCACCATCCTCATAATGAGCCGCCAACCCTCCGAGGCACAACACTTAACGCCATATCGGTCGTTTTTTAGCCAATGCCGACGCAACATTAGCCCATTTCAATGACTAATCGATCGAAAAAAAATATTTTCAGGATTACAGAGTACATCAGACAAAAATTTTTTATCATTGTATCCCGGCACATCAGTGCACCAAATGTTTTCGAGCTTGTGTCTTTTTACTGTACGTATAAGAAAAACATTAATTTTGGCAGAGACCGCACAATGCTGCTTTCACAAAAACAGGAATTTTGCACACCGCGCTTATTCTTTAAGGTCACAAATTAGAAGAGTGGAATTACTCATTTTTATCCGTTCCTCCCTGACCTGGCTATCCTTGTAAATAGAGCCTTGCTCCGCAAAATCACTAATTCCGGCTAACAATAAGTACTTATAGCTGCAGGAATATATAATCGCTTGCTGCATTCCAATGTTGCTGTGCGGATAGAGACCTCAAAATAAACCTACGCATCCCCAAAAAGGTCAAGCCTGACTTTTCAAGGTTTCCTCAACTACTGCACTTCCTTCGCACCGTAGTTTTTTCTAAGTGGCGTATGTCGCGATCGGGGAAACACCATTTCTAGCTCACTCTTCTACGCTACGCTGTCGACTAAGCGGTTGTCAAATACGTAACACGGACTCCTTTTCGAGTTAAAGTAACTGGACACGTGTTATGTTAGCCAGAAATAATACAAATAGGGAACTGCTTGTTAATGTACACTCACCAGATACGTATAGGTCGGTGTCCGCAGCCGCACACTCTTCCTGGCCACGACAATCAGCAGGGTGTTGCCGACGGCCCCCAACAAGAAAATAAGGGCGTGGAGGACCGTGGCCAGCACCCGGAAGGACAGTGGTAACGCGTCCATGTTGACCGCGTTGCGCTGCGTGGTATTGTCGCTGATCACCTGGTAGATTACGTATTCCGCGTCGGGATATGCCTCCCCGACTGCGCTATACTCCGACATAATACTCCCGCTCATATTCATAGACAGCCTCCGGGCTGATCGATCGATCGCCGACCCGCGAAATTATAAGTGCTTCGTCCGACACGCTAATCAGCTAAAGCTGTTTATCGTACACCGTATGCGTGCTATGATAATGCTCTTAATTTGCTAACTAAAGTACATAAGTAAATGAGGATGCGGTGTAATCGTGAACGCTAGTGGCAGTGTTCAAAGTATTTGATCGTACACCGGTTCAAACGGGAGACTGGAACAGGGGAGCTAATGTGGCGGAGGATCGATTTGATTTTTGGCCGAAGGATGTAAAGTGTCTGTTACAGGAGATGCTGCGCACGACGAGCGTAATTTCCGTTGGGATTTTAGCGTGACGTTGTGCCAGTGGATATTCTCTCGTCAACGTGATTAATAGGAAGCTGTATAAGTGTAATCAGTGGTGTCTTCGTGTTCAACTTTTTGTGGGAATGTGCGGTTGTCGTTAGTTGGAAACTTTACACTGATTCTCGTAGAATTCTACATCAGGTTTGAAAGGTTACGCAGGGCAGTGCCATTAACGCTCGTACATATTGCTCCAAGCCATGTAAAAAATATACCGGGAAAATCCTGTAACCGTAGTGCAATTCATATATGACATGTTCTTTTCGCCGATAAGGGCGGTTCCAGTGATCCTCTTTCTAGTTAGTACATGGAACATTTCGGTAACCAGAAACGCATTAATTGCGCCAAATATTCAAGTACAACGCAACCAATAGACCGGCATACAGAGTGCGAGTGTTCTAAAAAAAAAATAAACCAGAGAAATATATAAATAAAATTTCTTGTTTTCTTTAGCTGGAATACTTGTCGCATCGCTAAATCCGACTTCTCTGTGAAAAACGGCTGCGATGGATCATCGGACTGTTGGTGACGCTGGACAGGTCACACGGCCGTTGTGGCGATCCTACAGATAAGCGTAATTATGAAGCCTTTTTACAATCTTCAGCGCAATATACTGTAATAACCTGTGAGCGTAGTTCAGTTTGTTAATCACTTTTTGTATACCGTCAGAAATAATGATCACCCATTTGATGCGTTCAACAGTTTTCCATGTAACTCATGTAACGCGGCACATGTGGGGGCCGGTGATCAACGTGTGACGATATACTTAAGTGATCACTCTTAGAGATACAGCAGAAGTATATAATATGCGCTTCTCGTTGTGTAGCCGGTTAAGCGTGTACATACTTTGGTTTTTCCATAGGTACTCTTTCACTGCCGCCCGGAATTTGACGCTCATGATATTGTAGAGGAGCGGATTGATGGCGCTGTTGAGGTAGATGAGGGATTTGGCGAAGAACACGTACCAAATGTCCAGCCAGGGTTCCGCCACGAAGCTGTTGTACACCAGCAGTCCGCGGAAGGGCAGCCAGGCCACGGCGAACAGGCTTACCACCGCAATCAGCATGTGGATCTTTTGCATCTACAATTAACAGAGAATGATCATGTGTATGCGGTGCACCACCGAAGTACACTTAACCGACTACCGTTAATTTACTTCTAAAGTATGTAGTGCAAATGGTACCATGGCCTGAGTTGTAAAAAAAGCCGGGGCCGGAAGCCCAGGCACAGCTGCATCAATGTCACTTTAAAGCGCGCCTTCGCTTCCGCCGGTATTCAAACGGAACTGGAACCACCTGGTACTTGCCTAACCAATGGCAAGCGCCCCGACGGAGTGACTTTGGTCCCATGGGAAAGAGGAAAGATGTTGACCTGGGACGCCACATGTGTGTGCACGGTAGCCTTGTCGCACATCGCGGCAACATCGAAGCAAGCGGGAGCAGCCGCGGCGCGCGCAGAGCAGGATAAAGTGGCGAAGTATCGGGAACTCACGCGAGATTACCTGTTCCGTGCATTTGGCGTCGAAACACTCGGACCACTCGGACCGGATGCCTCTCGTTTGGTGACCGAAGTCGGGAAGATGATACAACAGGAAACAGGCGAGGTACGGGCGACGGAGCTTTAGCGCCAACGGATCAGCATTGACGTCCAACGCGGGAACGCGGCCTCTGTCATGGGAACAGCACCAGCATCGGCCAACTTAGACGAAATGTTCTGTGTGATTAGGCCGCCCATTTTCGTAGTCGGCTGAGCCTGTGTATTCACTACAATTCTTTCACTTTTATGGAAACTTATGACTGTATTGTATCGCCGAATTGAATAAAAATTGGCTAATATAATTTTATATATGTATATATCGATGAACAATCATCAACGTCAACCAGCATCATGCTCAAGCCGATTGCGCCGCGGTTGTTAATATTAAATGGTTAATGCATGCAGGACACGCGAAAAGCGTAACAGTTGCACTGTATTTTGTATGACGGTTGTTGTCGACAGATTGTTTTGAAAGACGCGCCAGTGAAACAATCGGGAAAAGCCATACTTCCATTTGTTTTGATGATGTGATTGGTTGTTTCTCTGTGGAGCACTTATTAATGGATAAATGTGTACTTAGTGATTAATGTCAACCATCACGCGTGAAATTAAATTGTTCGAGGACATCGCTGTTGCTGCATATGCCGCCACATTCGTGGTGGTGTAGCCTTTATATGCCGCTTTAGCGGTACAAATTACTAGCTGAACTGGTGAAGCCACTCAAGACCCTTTTCGGGGAGATGCGTCGGGTAAGCGATACAAAGCAATACATTGGCAATTAATGCCAACTTACTCCAGTCCACATCTGTTCTACGGTACGTAGCCATAGCCATATGCCGTTTCATTGCTATATCAGACAAACATACAATTAAGGTTGCCAGAGTTTTACTGAGTTTGCACTGTGCAAGGTGGGTGCGTCAGTCTTTGCGTCGGACCTTTTCGCGCTTCCGCTTGATAAACTAACAACGTAGTTGTGTATCTCGTTCGCTCACTACGAGCACACACTCAGCAGTTGTGCAGCTGGCTGACAATTATTGACGGAGCTTTGAAGTGGACACTGGCCATGAATAAAGAAATTTAAGGTACTCCTGACCTTGGATAAACGTTTTGTCATAAAACAATGCAATGGCATAAAACAGTGCAGAGTTATGCGAATATGCGAAATTACCCGTGCAAATACACGAATTCGATGCCATTCCAGTTTCTTACAGCGGCACTAATGCTGTTCAGTCCGTCTACATAAAACACAGTATCGTGGTAGACCGATCTGAATTTTCGGCAGCCAATCACGAGCGTAATATAACTTTTTAGTTCAGATTGTTCGGAAGCCGGTCACGCTGTGTCGTTCTTAGTTCCTACATATGGGACAATCTGCAAGCCTGTTCCCGTAATTTCCACCGTAAAAGCCAAAGTACCTTTAACAAGTATCACGGAAAAATTACAAACAGTAATAGAAAAAATTACAACAGAGACACTTTCTCAATAGCCATCCTGATAAAGGTATGCACGTATTGCGGCGTGAAACCTTTTGAGTTTGCCGCTACACTACGTCTACTACAATAAGAAATACGCTCCTCTCAAGAGTAATAATTGTTAAGACAATCATAAAGGTGAAAAGAAAAATATTTTAGAATTTTTACCGATAGTTTGTAATTTAGACCGATATTTGCCATCCATCGGCCATGTCAGATGCTTTTAGAGCGTAAACAGTGTAGCGTTGCGCGACGCCGTATGACCTATGGAGTTTGGCGTATTAACCCGTGAATGTGCATTTGTCGCTGTGCTAATGCGATAGCAATTACGGCAAGCTAGTATGTACAAGTACAGCAGGTCTATGATCCGGTGTTTACTCCCGATTTTCATCATAACCACATCTGTAGTTCTTCACTCATGTCCTTGCATTCGTTTTCAAACCACATTAAACTACAAACTACCTCAATGTCATAAAAAACTCATTTCGTATTAACGCTCCAACCACTCTTATGCCATTTACTCACCGGTAGCTGTTTGGAGCAGGGATGCGGCTCTACAATACACACCCCATCCGCGCGTCCCTCCCACACCGCAAACTCCAGCGACGGGCTCTCCAGACTGCGCAGGGAGAACGTGTGGCTGATGGACGGCGACAGCAGTTGCCGCCGCGGCTCACCCCCGCTCCCCATCGTCCCTCCGCCCTGACTGCGACCGCGCATCGTCACACAGATCCGCGTATACAGCACCACTGCCACTACCAGCGGCAGCAGGTAGAACAGCACCAGGTCCGTCAGGAAGAAGGCCAGATAGATTTCCCGGGACAACCGGAACCCGCACTGCTCGTACGCCGGATTCGTCTCGTCTGTCTTCAGTTCGGTGAGGCCCAGCCACGGGGCGCAGTACAGGACCGTGGTCAGCCACACCAGGCAGACGATACGGCGGGTCCGCTCCAGGGTGCAGAGTTTGCGAGCGGTTAGCGGGCGACAGACGGCCAGGTAGCGCTCGATGGTGAAGGCCAGCATGCTGTAGACAGTGGTGATACGGAGAGATTAGAAGATGCGGGGGATTATTTATAGGTCGTCTAATTACTACCCGGCGTTGTAATACCGGTTTAGCTGCCTAGAAAGGTCAGGAGTTGCGTACTTGATACGCTTAACTTGTTTCGTCATACATAATTACGAGTGGTATGGGATTTTCTTGACATTTCCTAGGATTGCTTGAACGATTCGGCGATTTGAGCCATGTCTGAGGGGTCAGCTTGTTCGCTGATTCGATCAAGATTCAGGATTTTATCATTTTTTGTAGTGTATGTAGTACTCGTACAAAGATTGTACGAGTATCTCGTGAAATGGATAATGGCCTATGGCTAATGTGCCGTAGCAACGGTATTTGTTGTGGTCCGTAATTGTTGCCATGTTTAGAGTTTAGTTGGTTGTTTGCTGCTGTCCCGAGTGGACATAATAAAAGATTATGCCGTTCGTTCAATATATGACATTTTTATTAATGAATGTCTCAGTGATGCGTCAACTGTATCCGGAAGGGAATTTCTGAACTCCAGTACAATTTGTCAGCATATACAGCGATTATCTTATTTTAAAATATAAGCCGAATTATTGAAATTAAGTGCACGTGTACTGTACAAAAGAATTGTTTTATTGTACGGTAAACATACATACAATTAAGAATTATGTGAAAAGTTAAAAAATTCCATTCTGCTTACTGGTTACTCTAATTTATAATCGTGTTGTTTAAAATAAACGCTTATATTCTGCTATGTACTAAATACTAATAATTATTTCCTAACATAAAAAATGCAAGAAGACAAACTTGTATAAAATACAGGACCATGAATAACTAACGAAAGTTATTACGAACACCCTCAGGCACTCAGTAAGTGAGATTTAGATTCTTCTGTACAAGAGTATGAGGGCTAATACATAATAATTATGCAACTAAAAAAGTTACTGATGTTGTAAAATTTTGAATACCTTAGACTGCCGGCATTGATCCCGAGGAAGTTGATGAAGATGAAGACAGCACAGAGACCGGGTCCGAGTACCCAGCGATTGCCGATGTGGTAGGAGAGGATAGCCTCCGGGATGGCGCACCAAATCACCAGCAAATCGGCATACGCCAGCGACACCTGTTAACAAAACGTAACGCACCATTGATTTAACACTGTTTTGATTAGCGTCGTTTGCGACACTGAGATCAAAGTGACGCAGATTCCACAGCTTTGACGATTTTACCGTCCACCATAAAAAAAATGTTTTTCTAAAACCACGTACAGAACAAGTACGTGAAATTTACAAAGTAAGCAAACTATTCCAACTAAATATAGAAGTACAGTAAAAATTTACTTCGCAATATTCATTTAAAATACTTTCGCAGACGTTTCTGCGTTTTACGAATTCAGTAGCATCGTAGGAATCGTCAGAATTCAGCAGCCGTATTAAAGCCGTCACACTACAATATTTCTTGTTTTAGCCAATATTTTCCGGGCGAAAATATTAAATTAATTGTATAGCAGTCATGCTGCAATAAAAAGCCGATTGGTCATTTGACGCTTCGCTGCCACATTATTGCTTTCAGTTACGGTATTAATGCTAATAATTATTCCCCCGCGCACACCGGTATCTCTGCATAGCTAATGAATGTTTACCAGTTTCTCGCCGGATTTTGCGTTCTAGCGACGGAACCGGTCATACAATCCTGCGCCTTGTCAGAAATTTTAGTTACGATTTTTTGTTACAACCGCGTACAGACGCTATGATATTGCCTTATTTAAATAATTATACGGTTAGGATAATGTCGATCAATATTCCCGGGCTGGCTGTATCTCGGGGTCGGGGAAAATGTAAACAAGCTGTTACCGGGCGTATCTCATTCAATCAGCACAATAATCAGGCAGATTAAATGGCGTAAACAGGAATTCCCAAATACCCGATACATTTTTTACATTTGCCATGGCCTACATAAACATTGTACGCGGATTAACAATTGCGGCTATGGATACCCACCCTAAGTAAACACTTGAAAAAACGTTAAGCGGTGAAATTGACGCAGATAGGTAAACTGTAAACAAGAAAATTAGCAGCGTCATTCCACCATTTTTTCTATTAAATATTTACGATTAATCACCTGTTAGTTAGAGCAACACGCGCAGCAAAACCGAAAGAAAATCGTACAAAACCCGGACAATTTAAATGAGAAAGAAATGTTTAATTATGGTGCGTACGGTGTAAGGTTTTTCTACGTTTTTGCTGTAGTAAACCACTAAATATTACAATATTAATATCGCATAGATAAATAGATAATCATTTTTCTAACCGCCGATGTCAATATATGTATGTTACATCAACTGCATAAAAAAACATTTGGATACATGCGACAGCGAAAATACATTAGCGGCTTATTAATTTTTAATGTAAAGTGATGTGACTGGCCAAAAAACGCGTTTACTGGGAAACAACCCAAAAAAATTACTAGCTGATATACGGTATAGTGAAAAATGCCGGTTGACTAACCAGGTATGTATAGGTCGGTGTCCGCAGCCGGGTGCTCTTCCCAGCCACCAGAATCAGCACGGTATTCCCCACGGAACCCAGGAGAAAGATGCAGACATGCAGCAGCGTGGCCACCACCCGGAACGCCACGGGCAGCGCGTGCACATCCGGCTCATCCGCCGACTCCACAATATACCCCACCAGACTGCCATTATCGCCGGCGGTCAGACACAGCCAAAAATGCCCCATCCGACCCGGCAACCGCTGGCTCGTGTTATCCATCCTGGAAGTAAGGTAACTGTCTATCAGGGAATTCCAACAGGCCGATGAATTGGCGAATGGGCCGTGTACGCTGTCGCCCGGAATCATTATAACGGCGCGGGGCAAACTTTTAATTGGAACGGCCGGCGGGCGGTTGTCGGTGTCGTGCCTAATTACAGCGGGATCGCCAGGCTCACCAAGAATATGCCGGTAATTGTTGAGCGCGGAACCTGCCAGTGTAAATCATCCCGGTCTTTCCGGAAAAACAGGAGAGGAAAACGCAACGGCGCTGTATATGCTGACCCGGCAAAACGAAACGGCTTGACATCGCCCGGCGTTAAATGCCTGGCAGAGCGCGCGTTTCTCAGGGCGCGCTCGTTAACGGCGCTAATTGCTTAAAGACCCCCTCGCTTTTCATCCAGGGAATAGGGCTAATAGCCCGCCTTAACACCGCGCTACACGGCCTCGTCAAATCCAATTTACCATGCGTGCAGCGATGTGGATAAGCGGGGCGCTAAAAGGCCGGCGCGCTGATACTTCCGTACGCGCCGGCTCGACCGAGATCTGTTAGCCCACGCGTGGATGGCCTTTTGTCGTTCATCCTTTATCCATGATGGCGCGACCGGGTTGCGTCAGATACGTTTAATATACGCGGCATAACTTAATGAAGGATGTTGATGTGTTGGCGATGGTTTAATAAAAGGGCGGTGAATGCGTGATGGAGTGTGGGAGAAACCTGTTTCTCTCACTATACATGAGCAAATTGTCTTGATGGGCGTCTAAGTATGTCCCCGTCTTCTGCTCTTACGTAATTTCCTTAGGAGTAAATTTATGTATTTGTCTCTTACATAATCGCTGCGTAGTTTCCGGCATTACACGAGCGATACTGTTTCTGGAATTTTTCAGGGAACACTGACGTATTGAAAAATTAGAAATACGGGTTCAGAGCAAGCCATTGCGGAATGTAATAATTAAGGTTTCCTTAACTGCAATGAAATTTTATTAATCGGTACTTTTTGTTAGCTAATACCAGTTGGCACTGTATAATTTACATACAGATGCGTGTGTTTTGGAATTATTAATAAACGATTATTAATAAACGATTATAATCTTGGCTTTGGAGACTCGCATTAGCCGCATCACATGAAACTATGACGTCACGCCGGCAGATTTAAGACTTCAGTCTCGTGACGAATCCTGGGACGAGACCTACTCGTGCTCGGATTTGGACTGAGATATACCTTGCAGCGTCGGCGACATATAAAACAGCAAAGAAATTCACGCACCTTGTATTATTTCATCAGTCCGGCCTACCCGATATACAGTAAACGCCTATGCAACCTCATTGACCTATAGTAACTGAAACACTAATTGTCCAGAAATCATTATGCTGTTAGAATTCTCCATGTCGTAATTTTTTTTGCTGTCGGCAACATGTGGGACTTTAAGTACAAACATACACACTTTGAACTTTGGTATACAGTTCACTACGGAATTATCGATTAAGGAAAAACATTGTTAATTTTGTACAGTGAACAGGGTAATGACTAACCGTAATATTAAGTAACAGGGTAAAATGAAAGAACAGTTACTTATTAATTGTACAGCATCAAGAAAAGTAACTGACCGTTATTTTTAAAGTGCCGATCACCAGAAACGACAGCATTCTCTGGCAACACAGCGAAGAAAGAACGCGTAAAGAGTGTGTGAAATTAATTCAAAAAGTGAATGCAAATCCTTTTACAGATACCACTTTTTTTTTACAGATAAGTACACATTTCCGGTAGAAGCAGATACTGTGCTTATATGTATTTTCTACTTTCTAATCATGCTCCTGGTGTTCGAGCCAAGTATGTTGAAATTGGAAGTATAAGGTGCCGTTATGCGGCACGGCGGCGAATGTCTCTTAGCAACCACCAACCAACGCGAAAATCAACGTGCTGTAATACACATGTAAAAGATACCGCACGGATTCGATATCACAGCAGTCATTTAATTCCTAAGCAACTTTTTTAACTCAGAAGCTATTTTTGCCACTGTTAACCTGGTGTTGCCATTTGAATTACTCCGATTAACTATCAGTAAATAGCAATGCAAAATAATAATCAAATGTTTTCATCTTTTACGAACCAGTCAATCTGTATGGTAGATTGGTAGTTGCTGTTTTCTCTTATTTTTCTATCCCGTTTTGTAGACAATACCCCATTTTATGGCCTTCTTCTAGTGGATTTGCAATGTTCGAAGGTTCGAAGGTACGTCCAATCAGTACTGCGGTGATTCCTTTGCTCGCTAGCACGCACCTGGAACTCAGTACAGTGTAGCACCCTTTCGATACAAATACAGTACACCTGCATGGTGACGCATACAATTTTGATAAGCATTTGCTGTAGGTGATACAAATTCAGTGTACGACATTCAGCGTGCGAATTGTACATTATTTTGTCGCACGTTTAACCGTAACTAATTTAGAGAGGCCATGTGATTTGTTGTGATAGAAACCACCACCTTGTTGTACCAGAAAAAGGCGGTGTAGTGGACTTGATTTTGGTGTATTTCCGAGCAGAAAGCCCGCGTTCGCACTTATAAAATAATTATAAAAAATGCAGAAGCAAGCTAAAATCTGTTCTTTTCTTCTGGTTAACCGTCAAATTAGTCAATTGAAGGAATTACTGCGGCTGTGTTGAGTATTCGGCAGAGGGTAGCCCGTTTGAATACATAGTTTCGGAAATTCTGGTGTCTGACAGAGGCATTGTGCCTTCGGTTGTCCTAATAGTAGGCTCGTAGGTTTCCGCCGTCTTTTTGCTAGCCACTAGCCAGTGACTGCTACCCTAAGGAAAAAATAAATTTAATGGATTTCTTTTCTCAGCAGACATGGTACAATAACACAGAAGCAGATCGCCTATTGCAGATTAAAGATTGCAGTAGTATACAGTTTAAAGTGCTGGGAGATACAGCTGCGAAATAGAAGCGGTACGATATGCGGGAAAATACGGGAAAATAAGCGGTAGTATTTCAGAAAGGTTGTGTATTTTTTTGTACTGTGCTTCGGCATTATTACTGCGCTTAATTATCAGCACTGCTGTGAGCAGTTTAAAATAACTTTTATAAAAAATATGAAATGACATGTTCCCTGATAGGTATTACACTTGAAGGAATACGTACATGCGCTATGAGCAATGCGGTACTATATAACCGAACAAATGTTCAACCGATTCGCGGTTTAACCCACATTATTTGCAAACCGTATAATTATGTAATCCTGAATGAGTTCGTACACGTGTGCGTGGCTGTACTGTACAAATTTCCTTAAAGTGCAAGGTTAGAGGAGGGTAGGTATGTGTGTATGTTGCTTCACTTCTTGTCCTAAACAAGCACTAGAATATAGCACCGTTTACAGATTACAGACTGCAGAGTGTCACCCAAACTAGTTTTATACGGTAGTGTAAAAATTACAGCCTTCCCGCCATTCTGAAATCCCGTTTAAAAATAAATTTACATTTTACCCAATTTTTTCATATCACAAGCTGTTTGAAAACACAGAAAACAGGAAGAAAGCTTACGCCACATACAACTCCGTATCCAGGCTGCCTGGACAAAACAAATTATTAACGTATACGAGTACCAATACTGCCGTTATCACGTACAAGTGTAATTACTGTACAACATTACAAACAGATAGTACGAGTACACAACATAATTATTAAACATCGAAAAATTATTTAAACAAAATATGACCTGGATAACAGAAAAGCTATTCCTGGGAAGTTAAACATTTTGGCACCTTCAAAAATAATAGAAGTCGATAAAGCGATAAACAAATTATTTGCAAATGTTGCTAAAGGTATGGGCATTTAACTTAACTCAGTTGTCTCAGATTTCTAAAACTAGCTGAAGAAAATGAAGAAATGGAGCGAAAACTGCGGATTTCTGAAGAACTTTCTGAAGAAGAGCGGGACAAGCTCCTCAGTGTTATAAACCGGCGAGGCTAGTCCAGCTGTTAAATACTGCATTTTCCGTGGTTTTTACATATGCATTCTGTGAAGGGATTTTTTTACACTTTCGATCGATCGTAACTGTTCTCTCTGTCCTTGCGTGCTTGTATTGGATGACCTTTAGCAGTTGGCTTTGGTTGTAGCTCGCCGCGCAAGTAAGGAAATCGATTGGTTTCGAACTGTAGACTTTCAAAGAAAAAGCCTTTCTTCACGTTTCATGTTCCTTGCTTTATTTGCCAATCCGTTACCTTTCTGATTACAGTTCGCTCTTTCATTGTTACATAAGGTTTGACCTTTCACTCTTTATTTGGCCAACTCAGTCACCTGTTTAACGTTGTCCCAACTCAAACATTCTCTCCCGCTATGAAACGCCGATGGTGATCTTTGGGCGCGTGAATCTCATGATTCTGTTTCGCTTTCTGCATTGCCTTCCATAAGTTTTCGAGGTTCAGTTTGGCCGCCATAGCACACATCGCGCCGCGCATTTTCCCAACGCAGTAAGTTTTTTGTGACAGCTATAACGATGCAAAGTGAAATCAGGCCGCACGCCAGCTCAAGTAAATTTCCTAATGATGATTGTCATCATGGATTATGGCGAAGTGTGCATGACTTTGCAAGGCTTCCGAAAACGGTAAATATTTTATAGGTTGGACGAAAAGTATATAAATTTCACAACACTCAGTTTCGGGATATTAAAGGTCAACTTGGCCGAACACGAAAACAAGTACCTGAGACTGGCGTCACCGAAAATCATTTGCTTTGTTTGGCGCCATCGTTTTAACTCTGTAAAATTCGGACAGTTCCTCTTCCCGGCCAGTTTCTCAATACAATCGACAAAATCACACCATTCTTTGGTAAACGATTCGCCGCCTCCGTTAAAATGGTAGGCAACCACTCAAGTAACGAAATTATCATTATAAACGTGATATTTTTTGGAAATGCCCTTTAAGTTTCTGTAAATTCCCCCCTTCGGCTATAACAACCAGTGTCATGTGCTTAATTCACATCCACGCCGTGGCAAAACGGGATCAAACGGCCGTGGCAAAACAAGGTCTGCTTCTATGATCCGCTTAAAGGCAGCGGCGCTTCTCGGTGTAGTCTGGCCAATTATCTCTCCGAGGCGTCGAAATGTTTTGTATAACTTTAGGAAATGAATGCCAATTATTGCCATGTTCATTGTCACGTCTTCATAAAGTCATTTATTTCCTCTGCTCTTCTCAGCACATACTGGCAGCTTATTACGCTGCTGCTGTTCACAATAATATACGATTATACGTTGCTTTTTCACATCATCACATTCATAAAAAACACAACATTGTCCTGGGCTTACTTTCCTCTGATGAGGCTGCGCAGCAAATGGTCCACATGCGAAGAATACACAGGAAGAACCGGTTTGAATGATTCAATAAGCAAAACGCACTGGTCTTTATTTTCCGCCACTTCTTCAGCTGTCGCGTTCCCAGCAGATAGTGCGCCCTTAACAGCGACTAGAACGCTCGGGTAACACGTACTAGGATCTGCGGCGAATAGATGGTCCCCGAACTCATGGTCAGTAAGCTGCATTCGCCCTATCACTCCATCCAATTATCGAGCGGCTCGGCTGATTAACGAGGCTGGATGCGGACGGAACCTTCCACTCGGATAACAGGGCGTGAAGGACTTCGTTCACTGGTTTAGTCGCGGTACCATTCGGGTTTCACTTTCTAGGACTGCCGTCCCTCAGGCTCGCTGAGCAGGAGTATTAATTTTCGCAAAAACTGCGCTCTCTGGCAGGTGACCTTCCATAATTTCACACTGCCATGAGCAGACCATGGATCCACACTGATTCGTGCCTGTCAGCTGTCGCTGTACAATCTCGAACATTATGTTGGCATCCCGCGTTTCGCGTCCAGACAGAATGGATACCTCGAGCCAAATAAGCACAGCGTCCAAGCTATTATACACACTGATGACCGCATTCTTTTGGCGCTATGGGACAGAACAAAATGATGGGCGCCGTACAGCACCTGGACGCATGCCACGCCAGAATCAATTTCATCCTGAGTTCTTGTGGCGCCAGGCGATTTGCCGGATGTGGGATTGCTAATCGCGATGTCGCTTGGGTCAGCAAGACCAGCGTATTCATTCCCTGTAGTACTTTCTTTGACAGATGTAACTAAATGCTCCACATTATTATACTATACACTACGACAACAGTTGTAGTTACTTTCATAATTACTTACTTAACCAGGCACAGTGTACAGACTGTATTACCAGGTACAGTGTAATTAAACGTAACTGCGTAACTGCACTGTTCCTCCAGTGTTTGGCATTCTGAGCCAGCTGGACCGTACGTCCAGAGTTCTTTGAGCTTATACTGACAGTGACAGGGAATCTTTGTCGTACACCAATTCGTTGCGCTCCAGAAGATTGGTTGTCCTTTGCGAAGAGGAAAGGCGTCAAACCACCGTCTGTGTCTCAGTTGGCAGCGCTCTGTACTTCGGCGCAACGAACATCTCCGGTGCTTCCGGGTCCTCGCTTTTTCCTTCCACAAATGGTTGGACTGGTCTCGGCGATGTCCGCAGTAATAGCTTTCCTTGAGCCAGTCAGATCTGGATCAAAAATGCGCGTCTGTGTCTCAGTTGACAGCGCACTGCAAATCGACGGGATGACCATCTCTGGGGATTTACAATTAGTGCTCCGCTTCTTCCTTCGCTCATGTAGTCTCTTGCAGGTCGTATCAGCATCACCCTTGGCTGGTTAAAAACACCAGGATATCTCAATGCACTTCCGTCGGATGGATCAAATAACGTATCTTCTACTGCGCCCACAAAGCACGCATTCGGTTCTATAGGACGAAATTAAAGCAAGGTTGACCCTGTCGTATATGTAGAAGAACAGTGCCGTTTAATCGTTGCTTAATGCTCGACAAATCGCAACTAAATACTGGCACTGTTTGCGAGCAGCATCTGGATAGCGGGAGCAAAAGGACACTTCCGTGCTATTCGTATGCAGGGTCGCAGTTAATATCTCACAGAGCCGCTTCATTTGAGAGAGAGTTGTGTCTACGCGCGAGAACACCACTGGCCAAGCAAAATAAGGCCAATACGGTTAAATTAAGCGGAATCTGCGCGTTACAAAATACTTGCTGAGCTTCGCGGCGTCTAGCGTGGCCGATATGATGATCGTGACACTTACTTCACCTCGTCGGTTGCTGCTTGTACTAGGCCGAGCGCAGTGTCGGTGTGGAGAGTTCGCTCGTTGCGCTTTGTCCAGCATGATCACGCGATATTCCGTTAAATCAGCATTTATGGGGATTAAGCAGCTTTTGAGTAGTCGTAGAAAAGAGGCATCCGCGATCATCAAGGACCGATGCAGAATACGGAGTGCATTCCTACCCTAGAACAACGGTCGAGATTTTAAAATTACAGGACCGACACCGCGAATTCCTGACAAAGGTCCACCATTTCCCCAATAGCTACCCATGCGCACGGGTTCTCGCCTCGCAAGCCTCCCACTGCAACGCTTCCCGGTGAATTTCTCGGTCATGTCCTTATAGAAATTCTGTCTCTCATAGCGCTTAGATAGGAAACCACTGACGAAATGGTGCACTTGTCGAATGTCGTAGCAGAGAAAGTCGATGAAGAGCCCGGTGTCCGCCACATCCACCACGCGACTGTGCAGAGCCTTGCCGTTGCCTGCAACACTGATCTTCGTCACAATTCTTTGCGAATCTCTGTAAACAGGTAGCGTCTTACGGTTTGAGAGAACTTCGCCCGTACAAAAGACAAGGCAAACTTTACTGGCACTCTCTCAGCACCCAGTGTGTGTTGGGTCGCGTCATTGTTTGAACCCTGCGATTCTACTAGCCATCTTCTTCGTAACCTTGAGAAGTTCACTCCCGGGTCCTGTGAGCGATTTTCCCGTGCTGTCGAAGTGGTACGCAGCTGCATGAGTCATAAAACCAGGCTACGCTGCATACATGTTTCTGCTTGTTGCAGTTGTTGACCTCTTAGATTTTCTCGTAGGGCAGCTTACTGACAGTTCATTAGTACTGCCAGTGTCAATTTCAAACGCAGACGCCGTCGTCGAATGGAATCAAGTGCAATTCGGCATAATATTGACACGGAATGCCGCGTTATTTGACCTGCGCGGCTGGTTTATCCAGCCACCGAAACTTCGCAGTTCTTTTTGTGAATTTAAAACTAAACACCTTATAAATCGAACCAGACCGATTGCTTTGTTTTTCTGCATCGTATGGATAATGCTCTATAAAATGTTCGATGGATTCGGGAAAATTGTTCACATACGCTTTACTTCTAGATTCATGTATTATGAATTTTACTTTTACCCCCTTGAATCAACATTCTTTACAGTTTATACCATCATTAACTGATAAAATCTACTACAGTACATGTATGAGTTTAAGAAACTGAATACCATGTACGTCTAATCACAGAATTATTACAAAGATGGCCTCCAGCTTCAAGTAAATTATACAATAATACCTGTTTACTTCATTTTGAAAAATTACTATGGTACGCTTTGTTGTTACCTTGTTATTCTTGAGTATTTCTGTTACAAACAACAACAAAAATAATAGTATTTAACTGGATTTTTGGCAAGATACTACTTACGCATTCTAGCACAGAGTGCTGAAACCAATTGCACGGTAATGAACTGCTTGCCGGCGCCTTATGAATGCTTAAAGTGAGCGTTTATGTGTTGAGCGACATTTAATACAGTAAGCTATTGTGTAATCTCCTCGATTTTGAACATTAATTAATTGCATGGTGACTGTCAGTTTAACAACCCTATGGAAAGTTCACATTAAGCGTTTCCGTATTGAGCAACATTTAGGAATACACATCTGCGGTATTCCTAATGTGCGCTGAGAACGGAACCCTGATGTTGATCGCTCGATGCTATAACTTTCGGCGCTGATCGTTTGCAATAAAACTGAAGTAGAATAAACCTTACTTATTACAGTATTTATTGTAAAATACTTATTGCAGCACTAGTGCCAGATTAAGATTCGTAATTTTAGATTTTGGGAACACATATGACAGAATAAACTAAGCTTAGCACTCCAGTAAGAGAACGCACTTCACTGATGATAAACATTTAAGAATAGAGAGTCGTCTTACCGTATATCAGTAACTAGTTATATGAATACTAACTACGTGACAAGGGTCCTCGACACTTTGCCGTTGTACTCAATGTTCTCCCGTTCTACACATCCAATCTGCACGCTCTAAAGTTCTACAGAATCCTCTCAGTGTCGAGAGTAATCCTGCATCTTCAAATTTCTGAAAAGCCCAATTCCCACAGTCCAGTGGTCACTCAAAAGCTTGTTACCATGGTGGCCATTAGCTTAACATGGGCTGTTTGTAAATCCCCAGATTGTTACTATGTGTTATTATATCGAATTGTCATTGAAATTAGCGAACTGCGAATTAGCAAAAATAACAGGTTCTGCTCACGCCTGTTTATTTTGTTCGTGCCTCCTTAATGTAATAAACATCGTTCCATTATTTAATACATATGCAGTTAACCGTTTTACATGCTCGAAATCCTAAGACATTATTCATCCGTGCTGGGCTTGTACTAAGTATTGTACTATGTAAATCGTTACTAGTAGCTCGATAAACCGGGCGGTGAATGCGTGGTGGAGTGTGCGAGAAACGTGTTTCTCTCTGTACAATACATAAGCAAATTCTCTTGATGGGCGTCTAAGTGTGTCCCCGTCTTCCGCTCTTAAGTAATTTCTTTAGGTGTAAATTTATGTACTTTTCTCTTACATAATCGCTGCGTAGTTTCCGGCATTACACGAACGATACTGTTTTCTGGACCTTTTCAGGGAACATTGATTGATGTCTTTAAAAATGAAAAATGCGGGTTCAGATCATGACATCGAAATGCAATTAGGGTTTCCTTAATTGCAAAAAATGTCGTTAACTGACATTTAGTTTTACATAACGGAAACGGTAGTTGTCAAGAAATCATTATGCTATCGAGGTACTCCATGTTGGGATTGTTTTCTATCGACAACCTGTGGGATTTTAAGTACAGATACATACTTCGAACTTTGGTATTCGCTTCGGAAATATCGATTAAGCAAAACCTTGTTAATTTTGTACAGTTAGCAGGGTAATGACTAACCGTAACTCTAAGGTTTTGGGGTGAAATGAAAGCACAGTTTCTAATTAAGTGTACTGTGTACAGTATCAAGAAAAGTAACTAACGATATTTTGCATAAAGTGCCGACAGCGTACTCTGGCAATACAGCAAGGAGAGAACGCGTGAAGAATGCGTCAAATTAAGTACTCGTAACTTAAAAAGGGAATGAAAATCCTTTTACAGATACATATTTCCGGTACGTAAAAGCAGGTACTGTACTTGCAACTTCTAGTTCTAAGTTCTAATCGCGCTCCTGCTGTTCGAGCTAACTACCCTGAAATATGAAGCATAAGCTGCCATTATGCGGCACGGCGACGAATGTCTCTTAGCAACCAACGGCACCAACTAACGCGAAAGAGAACGTGCTGTAACGCATGTGAAAAATACCACACGGATTCGACATCACAGCCGTCATTGAATTTCCAAGCAAAATTCTACCAATCTAACTTGCCACTGCTATCTGCAACCTGGTGTTGCCATTTGAATTACCTCGGAAAACTATTAGTAATGAATAATGATATGTTTTCATCTCTTACGAACTAGTCAGTAAGCATGGCAGGGCTGTTTTATCTATCTTTTCTCGATCCCGTTTCGTAAGAAGTGCACCTTACTTGACCTTCTAGTGGATTTGCAATGCTCGTAGCCGTGCCACCAAGGTTCAGAGGTACGTCCAATCAACATTACCGTGATCTGTTCGCTCGCTAGCGCGCACCTGGCACCCAGTACACTGTAACGCACTTTCGATACTATCTACATGGTGAGTTGGTGACGTTTACAATTTTGATATGCAATTGCCGTACGTGATACATATTCAGTGTACAAAATTCAGCGTACGAGTTGTACATTATTTTCCTATGCGTTTTACCGTTACTAATTAATAGCGAGTGGATGTATTTTTGCTGCGTTAGAAAGTAGAAACCATCACCTCCACTATAACAGAAAAAGGCGGTGTAGTTGACTTGAGTTTGGTATATTTCCGAGCAGACAAAACGGGTCGCACTCCCTAGATACTTACACAAAATGCAGAAACAAGCTAAAATGTGTTTATTGTTTGTGGTTAAACGTCAAAGTACTCAGCTGAAAGGTCTACTGCAGCTGTATTGAATATTCGGCAAGTGGTCGGCTGTTTGAGTACATAGTTTCGCAACACCTGGTTGCTGCCTGCGGTTGTCCTACTAATGGTCTCGCAGGTTTCCACCGCCTTTTTGCTCGTCCGTGACCGCTACCCCATGGAAATAGTTATATAATTAATGGGCTGTGTTCCTTAGCAGACATGGCAGAATAACATAGCAGCGGACTACGCATAGCAGTTCATAGGTCACATTAGTATACAGTATAAATTGCTGGGAGATGCAGCTCCGAAATGAAAGCGGTACGATATGCGGGATAACAAAGCTCCCCAATTGAGGCGGTTGTGTTTGAGCCAGGTTTTATACTCTTTCGTACTGTGCTTCGATATTATTGCTACGCTTAATTATCAGCTTTACTGTGAGCAGTTTACAATAGTTGATATCAAAAATGAAATAACAGATCTGACACACACCAATACTCATAACTGGGCTCATAGTCAAAATGTTGCAACATAAAAGACTAATCTGTGAATTCCATAAAGTCCGTAACTCCCAATTGCGCTTCGACTGACTTCAGCCCATTCTAAAATAAGAAAAGGTCATACTTATAATTAACCTAATTGTGATTTGCTACTCGTAGGCCCTGAGACTGGACGTCATCGAAAATCATCTGCTTCGGTTGGCGCCATCGATTTAACTCCGGGTGGTTCGGTCAGTTTCACTTCCCAATCAGCTGCTCAATACCATCGACAAAAGCATACCATTCTTTGGTAAATGATTAACCGCTTTCGTCTAAATGGTAACAACTATTCAAGTAATGAAATTATTATACATGCGATATTTTTTTTAAATGACCTTTTAGCCTCTTTAACTGACCACCTTCGGTTATAACAACCAGTGTCATATGCTTCACGTGTACGTCGTGGCTAAACGGGATAACAACAAGGTCTACTTCTATGATCCGCTTAAATGCAGCGGCGTTTCTCAGTTTTGGCTGGCCAATTATCTCGCCGAACTGTCGACATACTTTTGTAGGACTACAGGAACTGAATGCCATGCACATCAAAAAATACAACCTTCTCTTGCGCTTGCATTCCTCTGATGAGGCTGTGCAGCACATCGTCCACATGCGAAGAATACACCGGGAGAACCAGTTCGAACGGTTCAGTCAGCAAAACACATTGGTCTTTATTATTCGCGACTTTTTCAGCTGTCGCATTCCCAGCTGATAGTGCAC